TTTTTTCTTAATGTCGCATTTAAGAGATGTGCAGTTGTGGTCTACTGTAACTCCTATTTCTTTTCTGCAATATAGTTTCATAGCTGATTGTTTGACCTTTTTCTATTTAGGCATTCAATTTCTCCTTTCTAAGCACAGAACTTTTCAGTAATCTTATTGACTCAGTTTATGTCTCCAGTTTACTAAATGTATTAATGCCTCTGTATTCCCCAGACATGGGGTTACTGGCTTATGTGATAAGGTGACCCTCATGAGAACATCAAACAAAATACTAATTTTGGGGCAATTGAGATAGGTATATATATGCTGGCGTGTTGATAGTATCTTTTCACTTTTCAAATCAAGTACATTTTTTGAAAGATTGTCTCATCTTAGTGACATATTTATGTTGGGTGTGTGCCCATTAAACAGTTTAAAGACTGTCAGAATATAACAAGCAATATGGCACGTTTATAGTACCAGATACAAGTATGCAGTAAATCATATTTGTGCTTAATTTTACAACTGTTCAACTGGCTGAATTTGGCATTTTAAAATATGTTCTCTTTTGCCTAAACAAAGGCTGGCTGAAGGCTTAATTGCAGCTGAAGTGGAGCTTTACAAGACCACAGAGCTTTGCCATAGTTGGTATAAACTTTAGGAATATCTAAAACAAGCCAAAAATTTATTTAAATAAAGGGTTTTTTAAAAAAAACACCAAAACTAAAAATTAGCCAATGACATGTTCTTAACCGTACAGTTCATGAGGATAAAAAACGTGAGCTGTGAAGTAAAATGTAACCTTGAGAAGCAACTTCTTGCCCAGTTTACATCTGTGTAGCTGCACTGGAGACAGTGGAACCATGTTAATTTATACCAGCTGAAGAGCTGGCCCAGCATTTCATGGCCTTTACACTTCGTAGATGTTTCCTTTTAAAATAAATATTTACAATTTCTTGTAAATTTATTGCGGAGTGAATCGTGCCAGAACAGCCATGGAAACAAAAGTTCCCTATTAAATCATAGGAAAGCAAACAGCAGTGGTGCTATGTCCCAGACTTGTGTAAGTGCCAGCATGTTTCTACCACACCTGTAGAAGCCTCCTCTCCCTGGGTAAGAGCATCGTCCAGCCTCTCTGGTGCCATCCATTTGTGGCTGCTCTGCTGAGCCTTCTGCCTCTTCCTCATCCACAACCAAATATACCTACAGAATCCATGTCTGGTGCCAGAGAACTGCCACCATCTCTGAAGTGGTTGATGTGCATAAAGCCATGGCCCAGCCCTTCCTTACTGTCATGAATAGTCAGTCATTACTTGCACATTGGCCTGGTTTGAAAGATCTGCTGCTACAGATTGTAGAGTAGTTTCATTGACCAGAGAGAGAAAATGAAGAAGACCCCAGTATAAATAGTATCATGTTAGCTGGTTTTGATATAAAAATATTATAGATTTCAATGTATTTATGTATGTTCATGTATAGGTGTAAATATAGATGATGGTAAAGTGTTGGTATTTCTGTATGGCTTGCTTGGACTCCTCTGTTTGAGCACAGAACATCCATCTTTGAGAGTGCTTTGGTATTCGCCACTTTATGGTGTACAGTTGGGCACATGTATGACTTCTCAGTGAGAAGAGTAAGACATTTCTGAGTTAAAATGTGGATTGACTGATCAGTGGGAGTTACCCAGTTATTTTTCCTATTGCCTGTCCCTTCTGTTAAGAAACTGCCTTGGTTTCTACCTTCATGGTCGTTCCAAGCCCTGATTTTGAGCCACTATTAATGGTCAAAATAGACAATGGACAGTATTCCCAGGCCACTAATGCATGTATGGCCTATTTCATATAACCCACCTGTAGGAGAGATGTGTCAGATCAGGGCTGCTAAGTGTACATAGTGTCCCCTCTGGCTATATATAAAATCAAATGAAAGACTCCGTAACAGCTCCCTGCCTGGAATTCATTAATGCTTTTGAATAACTCTGTTATGAGGAATCTTGGGGGATTTGATTGTACAAATAATGAGAAGAAAATGGAGAGTATTGAACAAGAATGGTAATTGTCTAATATTAAATGGAGAGTGCGACTTGTTTTGAATGGCACAGTAAACTTGGTTTCATTATTTTTATGTCCATCTAACCGGTATGTAGTCGATAGAGGTCCCTCCAACCTCCTTCTCAGGCAGTCATGTGGACAGCATTTTGAATTTTACAGTAACTAAACAAAAACAACAAGGAATTCAAGTGTCTTAGTCAGTTATGTCAAGACAATGAGAAAAGGATCGCCTGTGCTCCAGTTTTATTTCCCTTCACCTCAGCAAAAATGCTGAGTCTTGGCGAAGTAAACAGCAAAACTGTTGTTTCGTATACTGGAGCTCTGTGTGAATGAAGGCAACTTTACAGAAACGTGGAGGCTGAGTTAGTGACATATCCACGGGCTTCAGTACGGGTTTTCAGAGGTACAACATATTTCTGTGAGTACATGAAACTGCTGTCGAAGCTACGGAGTTTACAACACTGGGATTGAAGAAGTAGATACGATGGAAGGAAAGAAAAATATCAAGGAATAAAGGTAATTTTTGTCTCATGTTACAATAAATTAAATCACCCCTAAAGCGAAAGACAGTGGAAAAAATTTGAAGGAACCAATTTTGCTCAGCTTGGGCAAGTTTTTGTTCTCAACAAAGCAAAATGTTTTCTATCTGGGCTTTTGTCAGGTTATGCAGAATTTCTCTATCTGGCAATCTCTGCTTTAAGAAAATGTTGTTTTTTGCTTTTTGTTGTGGTCTGGAATAAAAGAGACAACACAAAGAAAGCTTTGGCTATCTTGTGGGTGGAGGCCATACCTCTTGCCCACCCCAAGCCAGTAACTAGACAGTCCCTTCCACCCAGCTCTACTTCTCTCAGGTCAACAACGTTTCAGCTGAAATAGAAACTTCTGTGGGCCAGAGGAGTTGTGCTTATTTTGAGGAAGGGCTGTGTGCCAGGTTGCTCTTGTTGGGAATGTTCTGCTCTACCTGCTCGTGGTTTGGATTACGGAAAGATTCTGATTTTTATAGCCATCTCCTGACAGAAATGCAGTCATTCCCATATTTCAGAGGTTTGCTGAGCATGATAAATCATTACTGAAGAAGATAATAGGCTAAAAAGCTTTTCTCTGTAGGACCCTTACTTGTAGTGCTTTGAAGGAGAATCTTCTGGTGGATGGATGTGAAGGGTCAAGATTCACCAGTTATTCCTCTAGATGGGAAATGATGAAACTGCCAGAGTGGTTTCTGCAGTTCTGACACTGTAATGTTATAGAGCAGATGTGCTTTTACTTCCTAAATTAGAATTTGCTTGTGGATGCTTCTAACTTGGTTATCTAATCTATGGGCTGGACTAAAAGATATTTCTCTTCATGAGAACTTCTTATTTTTCCCATAGCTGTGAAATAAAAAATGACAGCTTGTTCATTCGAAAATGAATAAAAATGCTGTTAAGTTCTTGACCCTCCTAAGGAGAAGTAACTATGAGAACATCCTTTGTCTTTGTGTTGCCTTTCATGCTTATAATGACTGGTTTTGAAAGTTTTCAGTTATAACAAATCAAAGTCCACTTGCTTAGAGCAAAGATGACAAATGATGGGAAATTGCATATATTTTCTCCTGACCTTATTATAACGTAAGCTCTCAAAGACTTCAGTGGAAGAATTAAATCATAAGCCTTCAGACTCTTTTTTTCATCACAAATGGATAGGTTTGCAGATGCAGTTAAGACTTTGCAGGAGCAGCTGAAATCAGATTTACCCATGCTACAGTGCGTATTGGCATTGGAACTAGACCACCAACATCTTTTTTAACAGGAACGCTAGGAACAAAATAGATTTCAAGCCAAGATTTGACTTTGAAAAGAGGAAAGCGATCATTATTTATTGTAGACTGTAGCTTGGGTTTGAAAACATTTCTTTTATAGTCAGTTTTAGTTAATGCAGGTTGCTGAAGAAAGAAAATATCTCCCTCACAAAGGAACACATGGGAAATAATAAGCTTATTAATCGAATGCATGAAACCTGCTCTCCTTTTCATGAAAGAAGGGCCTATGCTACACTGAATAAAACTTTGCCCTTTGCATGCTGATGCGTTATCCACGTATTGATGTTACTGCTTCATTAGGAAACCTAGCATTTGAATCTCCATTCTGGCAGCAGAACCCCTTTCGCTTACCAAGATTGGTCTGAGGAGTAAAAGAGCCAGCAGACTTGTTTGTAAGAAAGAAACAGAGAATCTCAAAAAGCCTGAAGTTTTCTTATGCTGAAGCCATTTTTCGTGAATGTGTTTTATGATGAACCTTTTATTTCTTGCATTAACATTGCATGGTGCAGTGTAACAAAAACTTGAGGTCTTTGAATTTCCAGTTTCGCTGAATTTGACCCTGAGTATGAATCAAAATCCGTTGTACTTGTGTAATAAAATCCCTTCTTTCCTTTCCCATAGTGTAGCTGCTTAACATGTAAGAGTTGGTAAATATTTTTCATGCATTTTGGATGTGTAGCATCCAAAGTTCACAGAATTAATTTCTGGAAAATGTGAGGTAGAAACTCTGAAAAATACATTAACATCCCAATATATTCATTTTTTAAAATGTTACCATCACAGTATTGTCCTACTTCTGATTTCTCTGACATGTCTGCAGATGAGGAGCAACTGTGTAAATGGAGTTACATTGTACTCATCCTACACCGCTGGCAACAGAAGCACAGTTAAGTTCCAAACAGGAGGGTGTATGTGGGGGAGTTGGGGACAAAGCGAGTGCTGTGTTTAAAAACAAACAAACTGGAAAAAAAATATATTTTGGTCAGTGACCGAACAGACTTTAAATAAAAATTTTAAAAATCCTGAAGCATTCAAGGGAAGGAGAAAAGAAAAAGTTCTGGATTTTGTTGGGAAATAAATTCTGAACAACGCTTTTGGATTTGGAAAACAAGCTATTTAACTTGATCCAGGCAAAGCCTTTTCCCCCGAAGTCCATGGGCTAGGGCACTCACCTGGGCTGTTAGGATGAATTTGCCATCCCAAGTGAACCAACACCTTCCATTCACTTCCAGGAAAACATTGTAGAGTTGGTAAGAACCCTGGTGTGCTGTGGGTTGGCTCCGGTGTCTGCTCCCCCAGCGGATCTGCAGTGTGTTAACAGCCCGCTCAGTGTTGGAGCTGGAGTCAGACCTTACAGTGAGGTTGTGGACCACAGCCTGGTACTCGGGTAGCGCCTGTCTCCGGTGGGTGCCGCAGCGGGTCACGGCTCACGCACAGGCTGCGTAGCCTCTGAGTTCTGGTGGGTGCAGGATGGCTTTGTTCACCCCGATACCCGCATTGCCTGTATATTTTTTTTTTCAAACTGTTATTAAGATCCTGTTTGAGAAGAATGCAGATTTCTTTCCCAAGTCTGTTCAGTTGGCTGCATGCTCAGGCTGAACGCTGTTTCACCCTGTGCTGGGTTTGTGTTGCTGCATGTGTTGTACTAACCAAGGGTGCAGCCAGCTTTTCTACTTTGTACTTACATCCCTTACCAGTAATTTTCAATTTGTCACCCTTATAATTGTCCCAGTCCCGTTACTCCCTGCAATCAGTTTTTTCTGAGAAGGTAAAGTATTCCTTGCCCATATTGATTACTACGTTCATCCCTGGACCCAGCTGTAAATCTGTCCTGGACATGTTCATGAATCACAGGCAGCGCTGATGATTTATGGGTACAGGTACACTTTGTGTCGAGATATGTTTAGCATGATAAGGCCAGAAGGCATTTGGATTAGGAACTTGGTGTTGAAAGTACTGCAGTTTCTGTAGAAATATCCAATATTGAGAAGGGAATTTTTTTTTAAAAAAAAAAAAGAAACTATATAAATGAATTGTAAATGACGCACAATTGGGATTTTAGTGAAGCTTTCAGTACATTTCTGGGTGTCTTCTGTGGAAGGCAGGCTGAGACAAAGACTTGCTTGTTCTGAGTTTCCAAAAGGACGATGGTGCAGTGTTGCAATGGGAAGTAGATTTTGGTGGGTAGGAGGACTTCAGGAAATAAAAATAATAACAAAGCAGCAGTGTACGGTAAGAAGCATGAAGGAAAAAGCAGTTGGTGCACAGCTTTTGAAAGCTGAGGGAATAACATTGCCAGCAGCTTCTGATGTAGTTGTGACCTTCCTTCCTCTCTTGTGTCCGTGGGCAGGGTGCTGTGATGGTGGGACACCGTTTCCCCTCGCGCTGGGGGTCACTGCGACTCCCACGCTATCTCCTTCTTCAGTCCTCCTTAACCCATCGGGTTGTGTTTAGCAGGCTTGAGCAGGACACCTGGAGGACCAGGTGGCATTGCTGTTTGGGACATTCGGTGGCTTGCTTTTCCTTCTGTACTAGAGTAAAACAGGAGTAATGCCCTGGAAGTCAGCAGACTGGCACTAGCTTAAAAGAAGTACAATTCCTTTCTGTGTCTGTCATCTGGCTCTTGCTTCCTTCCAGTTCCATGTGGGTAGTTTGCCATAGGAAAAGGACTAGCAAACCGGCTAGTATAATAGTTATTAGTTAATAACAAGAGTCCTGGAAATCTTCTGACTTCAGTAATATTTTTTAAAGTATCATTAATTTCTGCTATCCCACTTTGTCCATAACCACGTGAAATGACTGAGTTTATTATTAAGGAGTCTCTCTAATACTCTTAGAAACCCAATTCTCTGCTAAGTCAGGAAGATGAATGTGCTTTAAATCTTTAGTAGATCTGGTTTGGATCAGAGGAGGGAGGTTAACAGAGCCGTATCTTCACTGAGAGCTGAAAGTGAAGTAAAACAGTCCCTGTGTGGTTGCAGCGGCTCATGATTTACAGGGCTGAATTCACAGGGCTGCTCCTGCTGCTGAAAACGCACGCTCTCAACCGCTGTTGATTTTTGAATTAAAAAAATGCAGCTCTATACACAGTTTACTTTATTGCTAAAGGGCAGGGAAATATAGGTAAGAGCCGTTAATCCCCAGCAGGCTGCTGGGCAGGCGAACAGACATAGATGACAAAAGTTAATTGGAAACATGAGCAGTTTAACAGAAAACATATTTGTGATAATTGAGAGAGTAACGTCTCCAGAAAGGAAACTCTGCAAAGAGAAACTTCAGAGGAGAAGTGGCCACTGGTAGGTGAGTGTGATTTTTCAAGCTCTCTCTAAGCTCTGAACTAATTTCTTAACAAGAACAAATAACATTAAAAAGAACTAAATAAATAAAAGATTTGCTTTCTCTGAGGGAGGAGGGCTGTAGTTACTGCCACTAGTTTCTCTTACAGCTGGGTTAAGATATGGGGTAATACTTAATTTAGGTTCATTGCATAATGGCACAATTAGTTTTATTTTTGTACATGGAGTTTTCTTCTACCTTTTGCACATGAAGATCTCATATCCTCCCCCCAATAACTGAAAGGACTTCAGTTTTAATTTTTTCCTTACTCCTGCGTTTTTTTATATGTCTGAGGTTTTTCTAAGAATCGAACTTGAACAGCAATTATTTTGCCAAAAGCAGAGGGAATCCCTAGTTAGAAAATAGTGCTGTGTTTTTGCTAATGAAAAAGTATTATGAACTTAATAAGGGAGAACACGTTGTGAAACACATTTTGGTTTGAATTGGGGGAGATTTATTTTTTTTCTTTATTGAAATAGCAAGTAAATGTAAATTGCATAGTAGGAGCTTGTTGCTGTTCTGCTGGGTAGGAAAAGAAAACTGGCTTCTTATTTCTGTAAGTGATACTGATGTTGAAAGTACTAATATATGTCTCTTTTTAATGTTAATAGTGTAAAATTCCTAATGTTTCATTACAGAAAGAATCTCATTCTAGCTATAATATCAGGTACTACTGTGTTGTTTTTTTGGGTTCTTTTTGGTTTTTCTCCAGAGCCTGCGGACAGTACAGCCTCCCAACCCACAGGAATGAATGAAAATGTCTCATCCTCAGTTCAAAGCTGCAGCAGTTCTGTTAGTTGCAATAACTCATCAGCCATCCCTCAGCCCAGCTCTGCTATTAAACCTTGGCGCAGCAAGTCCCTTAGTGCCAAGCACACAGCTACGTCTTCCATGTTATCCGTAAAGCAGCCCATACCGGAGCCTCCAAAGCCACCCTTGGAAATCACCAAAACAACTCCCAATGGTCAAAAATCCATGCTTGAAAAATTAAAACTCTTCAATAGCAAAGGAGGCTCCAAAGCAGGAGGGACAACACTTGAGTGTCCGGGGTCTCGGGATAACAGTTGTGAAAAGCTGGAGACACTTCTGAGCTTTGAGGAGAGCGAAGAAATTGATGCCACGAATCAGAATGTGAACAATCCGGGATCGATGTCCAGTAGTCCCAAAATTGCACTCAAGGGAATTGCACAAAGGACTTTTAGTCGGGCACTAACTAATAAGAAAGGTTCTCCAAAGGGTAATGAGAAGGATAAAGAGAAACAGAAAGAGAAAGAAAAGGATAAAAGTAAAGACATTGCAAAGAGAACATCCATCACTGAAAAGCTGGACCTGAAAGAGGAACCAAAAGAAGAACAGACAACACTAACAACAACAGAGATGCCAAAAAAGTCCTCCAAGATCGCAAGCTTTATCCCTAAAGGGGGCAAGCTGAATAGTGCCAAGAAGGAGGCCTCTGCCCCTTCGCACAGTGGAATACCAAAACCAGGAATGAAAAACACCACAGGGAAATCCTCAAGTGCCCCCGTTCCTGCAAAGGAAGGCGAGAGAAACCGCAGCGGGAAAGCCAGCACGGGACTCTCTCATCAGAAGTCTCAGCTGGACAGCAGGCATTCCAGCTCCTCATCCAGTCTGGCCTCTTCAGAAGGAAAAGGTGTAGGAGGCCTCAACAGCAGCAGCAGCAGCCAAGCTGTCAATGGACCCGCCGCGACGACACACACCACAGGGAGCAATACTGTGAGTGTTCAGCTACCTCATCCCCAACAGCAATACAGCCACCCGAACACTGCCACGGTAGCTCCCTTCATGTACAGGTATGGTGAACTTCTCACTGGACTGTTCTGAACAGGACACTTAGATAGGAAGATTCCTTTTGGACTCTCTTTGAGGGAGGTGAGGCAGCAAGAGGAATGGCATGTCGTTTAGAAGTTTCTTGTTTTAAGAGAGTAGGCAGTGTATACGTATTCACAAAAATTCTTGGCGAAGGCCATCAGACTGAGATCTACTAGAAGTTGTGATAGATAGGAGGGTGAATAATTGTTGTATCCGACCCTACTAACAGTTAAGATGAGAATGCTAACACCTTCTTGACCAAGTGCTGCTCTTGCCTGGTTTCACACCATGGAATTAGGTGGGGTTTTTGCCTCATAGCTTTAAAAGTTGTAGCAGTGCCAATTTATGACATAGATACAGTTATTCTTTTCAGTGAGGCTAACAGTGGTGGAGCTGCTTCACTGTAAGCCGTAATGCGAAAGCTTAAAACATGAAATAAATCCCTTAGTATAGGTAAAGCCAGGCACAAAGTCTGCTGTTCTGTGCATTAACCCTGAATGAGGTAAGCAAAAGAACAGCCATATGGGGTTGCAGCCAATCTCCATCTAGTCCAGCATCATCTCTTTGACAGTGACAGTAGAGGCTATGTAGGGAAGAGTAACAAGAAGGAAATGAGGCCTAAAGACGTGGTCCCCAGCCTCACCATGATGCAAGAAATTCCTCAGTCAGATGGTAGGATTTTTAGTTTTGACAGCCATTTTCATAGGAAGAGAATGCAAACAGTTGTTCTGTCTTTATCATCCTCTTGCTGCTCATGATTTGAGACCTGTCATACACTTCCCTCCCTTAAGATGTGTCTTTTCTAGACTAAGGTGTCGTAGCCTGTTTAGTTTTTACTTGTAGAGATGATGTTCGTAGCCTCTGGTCATCTTTGTCACCCTTTCCCATCATTTTTTCAGTTCTACTATACACATTTTGCCTTTGATCTCTTGGCAGATGTAGCATAAAGAGATGGTTGGCCACATTTTTTAAATAAAAGTGAATGTAAATGCAATGAACCTGAAAGAGAGGGATGCCAACGGCCAATGTAGGAATGCAAAATGGGAAGAGCAACCCCTGAGTGTTCTCCCTGTGTGAATGGAATAAAATGCCAGGTGTCCTTCTGGGATGCGGTCACATGAAAAGGAACCAGTTGGGAAAAATTAATCTAAAACTTGTGTTAATAGTGTATAGTCTAGTTTTCCCTTGCTCTTGCTTTCATCTACATACATCAGCATTGTTGTTGTGTCTTTGAAGGTGAGATCTACTACTAGGAATTTTTGGAGATT